CTGATTTTCTTTAGCATGTACATGGAACCATACACAAATGATAATTTACTGAAGAATGTTCTTTATTTTTCTGTATTGTCTGAGGATACTTTTACCATACCGTTGAGCCTGATTGGAAATTTGGAAAACTAGCACTGCTTAATAGAATGATAGAAATGCTTAGCTTATCCACTGACAAACATTAAGAATAAATGACAAATTGGGAAATTAATACCTCTGGCTTTACCCTTTGCTTCTGTTGGAAGAAAAATCTGGTCCGGTTCAAAGCTGGGAGAAAGAAGCTGGAAATAAAATGGAGGCAGGCTGCAAGGAAAGGTCTTTATTTGGTTTTCCAAAAACTTCAGTGCAGGGCCGGATTTAGATGAAAAGAGGCCCTAGGCTATTCCACTTATGAGGCCCTTTCACCAGTGGTGGGATTCAATTTTTTTAACAACAGGTTCTGTGGGCGTGGCTTAGTTGGGGGTGTGGCTTGGCAATCATGTGACTGGGTGGGCGTGGCTAGCTGGTCACGTAACTGTGTAGGCGTGGGTAGCTCGTCATGTGACCGGGTAGGCGTGGCTATGTGCATAGGGACTACTCAGAGGGCTGAAAAAAGTCATTTCTGACTGGGCCTCGCACTTTTGACCGGTCCTCACACTTATGACCATCCTCACATTTATGCCCGTGCAGCTTTCTTAACAACCATGTCACTCATTTCACAACTGCTTCTCTTCACCATGGTGACAAGATAAGGCAAAAACGTAAAATGTGAGGACAGTCGTAAGTTCGAGGACCAGTCAAAAATAACTTTTTCAGCCCTCTGAGTAGTCCATATGCACAAAAGGACTACCCAGAGGGCTGAAAAAAGTGATTTCTGACAGGTCCTCGCACTTTTGACCAGTCTTCGCACTTATGACTGGTCATCATTTATGCCCATTGCAGCATTCTTAACAACCATGTCACTCATTTCACAACTGCTTCTCTTCACCATGGTGACAAGATAGGGCAAAAACGTAAAATGTGAGGACAGTCGTAAGTTCGAGGACTGGTCAAAAGTGCGAGGACCAGTCAGAAATAACTTTTTCAGCCCTCTGAATAGTCCATATGCATAAAAGGATACAGCAATAGAGAGGGATGAAGGAAGGGAAGGGAAATTAGAGTAGGAGTGAGGGTAAGAGAGGTAGGAAGAGAGGAGGAGAAGGAGAAAGGAAGAGGAAGTAGGGAGGAGAAGAAGAGGGGGAGGAAGAGAAAGTAAGAAGGAAAGAAAAGAGAGAGGTGGTAGGTTTGAGGAGAAAGATTGCTGTACAATAAAAAAGATGAAAGGGAAGAAAGCCAACCCCAAACAAATATAAAGATATTAAGATAAAGAATGAATTGTTAAACTTTAAAGAATAAAAGAGAACAAATATGAATAAATAATAATTAGAAACACACATACAAACATACAATGTATTTTCTTTGAACAGAGTATTTGGCTGGTTCACAAATTTAAACAGTGTTTAGTCATTTCAATTAAATTTACAATTTCTATATTTCCTTTTTGCCATATTTACTCCTCATCTATTTTTGTAAAAAACTAATATTACCCTTCATCCTCATCTCTAATCTTAATCAAATTCAATTTTTCCCTTCTATTCTATATTATACCCCTTCCCATTGTCATCTATTTTTATATCCATCCTCACATTGGTTAATTATGTAATATTAGTTGTTTAATATAAATTCAACATTTTAATATAAATCAATTAGTTATATAATTACCTTTTTTGTATATTAATCAAAATGAACATGAATATTCCAATTATTTCCATGCAATCCAATTTGTTACAAATCAATTAATTATATTTACCAATAATAATAAACCAAATAATTTCCCCCATATATTCCTCCAAACCACAACTTAACTATTTCTGCTTTCAGAAATATACAATTAATAGTATCTCAATTATTACAATTCCCTAGTTAAATAGAGCTTTTTTTCTTTTGTGTTTTAAAATCCTGAACTCTCCTCTTTTTCCCTAAATTTCCCATTGTTTGCACCTACCTTTTTTGGTGAAGAAAAAGAAAAGAATTCTGCCTGCCTAATTTTCCAACCTTGCAGCAACAGCAAAGCAGTTTCAGTTTTGTTTCTCAGCGTAGCTAGGGGAAAAAAAATCAGCACTCTTTGCAAGGAAGCAGAAGAGCCCTGAGCAAAACAGCTGAGACAAATCAGCTGAGAGCCGGGAGGCCAATTAGCCTATGCTGAAGCTCCGTGTGCCAATAAAATTACAAAAAAAAAAACACCGAACCCTTTGTTAAATTGCTGGCTCCCCCGCCCCTCGCCCACCACTATTTATTGGCAATAAATAGTGGTGCGGAGGGGCGGGGCAAGCCAGCAATTTAACAAAGGGTTCGGCTGCACCACTGGCTCTAGGGCGGCGCTTTGAAGCCCCGCGGCAAGAATTTGAAGGTTTTTTTTCCTCTAGCCATCGGAGGCAGCAATAGATGGGGAGTGGGCGGGGTAAGCGAACGGCCGGCAATCCAACAGAGCAGAGAGTGAGGGTGAGTGAAGGCGTGGAAGCTGCTTTCTCCATCCTGCTCTCTTGCGTCCGGAGCCCACGTGGATCCCAGGCAGCGGAACTCAGGCTAGGGAAGGGGTGGGCAATTGTGGCTCTTTTACAACCTGTGGCCTTCAACTCCCAGAATTCCTCAGACAGCCAAGCTGTCTCAGGAATTCTGGAAGTTGAAGTCCACAGGTTGTAAAAGAGCCACAATTGCCCACCCCTGGCTATGGTAGGCTGGCGCCGCGCGGGTGGGAGGCGAGGGGCGGGCGAGCCAGCAATTTAACAAAGGGTTCGCCTGAACCCCCTAGAACCTCCAGAATCCCACCACTGCGTAGGCCCCTCTTGATCTTGAGGCCCTAGGCTGAAGCCTAGTTAGCCTATAGGAAAATCAGGCCTGCTTCAGTGACAGCAGCATGTTTCTGGGATGGCTGACAAAGTGGGGTTGGGATAGGTGGGCTTTTATACATTCTTTGGGGCTTTGTGATTGAGATGCCTGTTCCTGCGTAAGAATGTGTCCCTTAGTATTTTAATGGCTACCGCCAGATTCCTACGGGGGTCATACAGGGGTCATGGCTGGCTCTTCAGGCAAAAGGGGAACTGCAAATCCTAGGTATTTGTCTGAGCTAATCTTGTCAGCTTGCCTAATTGTGCTGCTTTCTGAATGGATACAAAAATCTCAATTCCAAAAGACCAGCCTCTTCATGCTTCTGCTTGAAGTTGAAGGAAATGTTTCTCCTCTTCTCCTTTAATGGAATTATAATATTCTGTCTCTTTTAATATTCCCCCAAATATTTCATTCTCTGGGTGGGGGGAGGGTGTCTTCTCACACTTGCAATATAAACAAATTGTGTCTAGTTATAAAAAAAAATCATAGGTCTGCAGTGAAATAAAATTAACTTGAACATACTAATCAGTTTCAACATCAGTTTCAGCAATTACACAGGAAAACTGTTTCTCCAATCTTTGTCTCAGAATGGTATATCTGCTCACTGGCTCGTCCTGGACAGAGCTGTGGCCCACCAAAGTAAACATGCAGCATCTGTTAATGCATGCAGCTTAATGCCTAGTAGTAGAAATAGTTTCCTTCAGGTCAAGTTCAACTTATGCATGTAGCTTTTTTATCAGCAACAACAGAGAAACGGTTGTCATGCTGCCTTTTGGTTTTTCCTGGTGATCCAAGCCAAATATTAACCAAGTTAATTAATTAACCAATTCTACTTAGCTTTTGGAAATTGGCACCGTTTTAAGTAGATTCTGCAGTTTTACCCTCATTGCAATCCACTTCATACTAAGCTGCTTGCAAAATCATTCAGTTTTCTCTAGATTTGTCTTCATTTGTTCACTTTATATTGTTGGAAGAAATATCCTTCTGGGTTCAGCTCCAAGTGGGGAAAAAGACACTGGAAACATGGAGACTGCTTGGAAAGATGGTTTAATGGTGGACAGGATCACATGGCTTGCATTCCTGAACAGAAAAAAAGGGGCGAGATACAGCGAGTCCCCGGGTTTTTATGCTCTCCCTGGCTTTGAACTTCCTGGGGCCCCGAAAGAGTATCCTGATTGGTTGTCAGACTCCCCGGGGGTGGGGGTCTTAGCTAGTCTTGCTGGCTGATGTAATCTTCCCAGGTGCCATATGGTGAGTTTCTGTCCTAGATGGGTCGTATTGTGTTGCAGATGATGTCCTTTGACAAAGGATTGAGTTTCTGCCTCTGGCCCATTAACAAAGGTGTGTGTGTGGGGGGGGGAGGTAGGAAGCTGCTTTGTCTTTAAAACATCTTTCTCCATTTCTCATCCAGGGAAATATAATATTCTGCCTTTTTAATATTTCCTAAAATCTTTCATACTTCCAGGAAAGGTGTGGGTGTTAACTTCCTACAATATTTATAAAAATAATAAAGTGTAGCTACCAAACTTCTCTTCCAGCATTTTGTTTCACTTTCCAATTTTCTTGACAATTTCTTGACAATTTTCCTAATTTTTCATAGAACTCCAGTATGTACAGTAAAGAAAACCCGATGGCAAATTGAGCTATGAATTAATTCAACACACTCAGCCAAACCAACGGCATGTTAACCTGGATTGCAGTACAAGAAAGGGAGGCAGAGTTAACACAGCATTAGGATTTAGGGGAGGGGAACTATATTCAGTATTAAAATTAGAAACCCTGCCAATAAGATTTGCAGTACTTTGCGTACAGCAAGACCACTTTGGAAACTCTGATCCGTATGTATATTTGGAATCCGAAATCATTCAGGGTCGGCAAAATCAACAGCTAATCATTTTGTTCCAAGTTTCGAAGCAATAGCTTTCCTCTGCGATTTTCTCCTTCAGCAAATGAGAGACCACGGACACTTGTTTTACACACTCTCTAAACCTTCCTGGGATAGTCTCCTCGTTCAGCCACCAACCCAACCTTCAGCAGAGGCATATCCCGCCTTCCCCTTCTTAACGCTGGGAAGGCGGGGCCAAGGGAAGGCAACCCGGGAGCCGAGAGGACTACAACGACCGGCGTCCTTCAGGTTGAGGCGGGTTTGCCCGTCCTTTGCCCGACTTATACCGTGTACGGGATGGAGAGGAAGGCCGATTCCCGGCAGATAGCGGATAAACGAGAGGCGCAGAAATATTTGGAGGGAGGTGGGACGGTCTTGGATCCCCCCTTTTCTTCACATGCAACAGGATTTCGGGACTGGGCACAATTTCTCGAGGTAGGTGGTTCTGATATTGGAGAACTGGTCACTACTGGAAAACTGCTAGCCAGGGAGGCGCCATCCTACCTTTCTCCCCGCAAGAAACGGACAGGGCTGCGTGAGAACGCGCGCTGTTAGCAAGGAGTTGTTGTCCGGGATAAGGTTTCTCTCCCATGGTAGAAGTCACGCGCTGCCATTTCCTTGCTTCAACTTTTCCGCGAGGGCATCCAATAACCTCTGCATGACGTGGTCGACAATAGCCCTCTGCTAGATTGGCGCTTCGGGGTAGTTGATTGCGTGGCAGGAGACTAAGCTCCTAAATGTTAGCGGCTCTCCTGCAGAAAACTCCCCCCGCCACGCCTTGCATATCATTAAAGAGAACTGTTGGTCTTAAAGTCCGGGAAATGGTCTTAACGGAACCAAGTTTCCAATTTATTACTCTAATCTGATGTATTCCGGTAAAATTGGACTTCAATTCCCATAATCGCCCCAGCCAGCACAATTGATCGAGAATCATGCAAAATACTTTGCATTTGGATAACATTGGATTGAATATTGTTCCATCCGAATTCACAGGAGGACATGAATAAAGAACACAACTCTATACTTTTTCAGCCCCAAATCGTTTTTGGAATAGTCTGTCCCCTTAAACATGGCTCCCCATCATGACAGTGTACATATATAAAGAAACTGGACACTTAAGGCCACTTTAAAAATAAGTTTTTGGTTTACATCCCAAACAAACTTAACCCACCAAATGAAACAACTGAGAAGTGTTTTCTGCAGTGGGCACAAGTCATTTGAAGCAGTTTGGTTACATCTCATTGACTTGAATTACATTCCTGATGCTTGCACAAGTATCCAGATAATTCCACTAATCTCTTTATTTGACAAATTATATCCTGCCTTTCCTAAGAAACACAAGGCGGCATTTACAGCATTCCTCCCATTCTTCTCATAGCATCCTTTTGAGGTAGGCTTAGAGAGAATGACTGGCCCAAAATCCTCTAGTGAGCGTCTGTGTTTTCCTCAAGGTGGATTTATTCACTGTTCTCCTCTTCTGTTTCTACAGCTTTGGGCCCCTTTCTGCCTCTGTCCTCCTTGAAATGCTCTTAACAATTTTTGAACCTAAACTTTTGGTGCTTTCAAGTGCAATGCACATTTGGTGTTGCGTTGAATGCACTGGATTTGGACTAGGAAGACTTTGGTTCTAGCCCTTTCTTAGGCATGGAGTCCAGCAGCCGAATACTGAGAAGTCAAAAACCATTCTGGAAGAAGGTAATGGTAATCCAAATCTATAATCTTGAAATTACATGAAAATTGTCAGGAATCATGTCTGACTTGAAGGCACCAAAAGAGAAATAATAGTTTACTTTTAGAAAATAAAGCAGAGGGCTGATTGTAATCCCTGACCCAATCTTAATCTTCCAAATTCTATTTGTAATACATGAGACCCAACATTTTTATTTTTGCACAAATTATTCTGCAATGTAATACAGGTAGTCTTCAGCCTACAAGCCCAACTTTCCATTGCTAAGCAAGACAGTTGTTAAGTGAGTTTTGTCTCACTGTTATCACTCTTCTTACCACAATTGTTAAGTGAATCACTGTGCTTGTTAAATTAGTAACACGGTTGTTAAGTAAATCTGGCTTCACCGTTGACTTTGCTTTTTAGAAGGCTGCAAAAGATGAACACATGACCCCATCATAAATACATGCCAGTTGCCAAATGCCCAATTTTTGACCAGGGGGATGCTGCAATGGTTGTAAGTGTGAAAAACGGTCATAAGTCACTTTTTCAGTGCCAATGTAACTTCAAGGGGTCACTAAACAAATGGTTGTAGGTCAAGGACTATCTGTATCTTCCTGCAGCTGTATTTTTGTTTCTTTTCCAATAGGTAATATCCATTCTGAAATTATAGAACATAATGAGATGGTCAGATATTAAATTCTGTACAAGAAATTCCCTAGTAAAACATACCTTCCCCAGTTTGGGTTTCCCCTCAATAGAACTAACTCCACAGGAAGGGGAATTGCTACACTGCAAGGTTATCTTTCTGTGTGCCTCAGTTTTTGTTAAACCAAAGGGCAACAGACTGCTTGGCCATGCTGGATTTCTCAAAGTAAGCCATCTATTTTGGTTACAGTGCAATTTCTCTTGGAGTACAGAAGGCATAGAAATTATCCTAATATTGTACTTATCGATAAGTAATTTCATTCCCTTCAGATTATATACTGAAGTCAGCCTAAAATGATTTCCTGGGAATGAGGATGGTCATAATTCTGCAGCATCTGAAATGATATCTCATTTATAGTCACCTTAATATCTATAGTAATAATGAAACCTTAGTAAGAGAAGAGAACATAGGTTCTCTAGAAACAAGAAAACTGCAAACGTGAATTGAACTTACATAGTTTTTTCAGATTTGTTTTGTTCTGTTCAATAATATATATTTCCTATTTGGATAGAAAGTGCCCTGAAAAGATAAAATGCTATATGTTATGTATTCTATATTACAATACAGAATAACCGACTGTACAATCAGTTCTTTGTTAAATAATTTTGTTAAAGCATGTGGCAGCACTCAGGGGATCTTATCAGTTCAGTCCACAGGAGTCTGATCTGGGTTTTTTGTCTTATTGGGAGCATATAAGCATTTATTATCAATAGGGCACCATAGTTAAATTCTATTAGTACTGGTGTATGTTTTGAGTATAGGGAGGGGCTTTGTATTTAAGCAGGATTAGGCCTGCTTAATACTTAGATGGGAGATCATGAAGGAATTCCAGCCCTGTGAACTAGACTGGAAAATTTTTAAAAATCCCTAATGAAGCAACCTCTTTTATGCTGTTGTCAAGAATATGGATCTGTTTGTGAGATCCCCTGGAGTTGAGCTCAACTCCAAAAAAATGCTTTGTTCAAGGTTATCAAAGTAAAAATATTGTGTTGTTTTTTTAACTTTCCTGGAACAAGTTGTCTTTTTTTTTTAAAAAAAAGGTACATATTTAAAAAGGTACATTTTGTATATAAATACTTTTCTATTTTTGTTTTTGCTATGTTTGGGTTCCTGCTGTTTATGATATACTGTACAACATTTTTGGCTTCTCATTGTTATGACTTTTGAGATGGATGAATACATTCACATTAATTGCTTTGTTTCTTAAAAAGCTTTAAATATTAAGACTTGCTTAAAATATTTAAATCCTCAGTCATGAATCCCCTATTCTTCAACTGTTTTTTTTTAATAAGTAGGATGTAAGAGATGGAAAGAATGTTACTTAAAATGTTAAACTTTTGCAGGTGATACGAAATTTGACAGAAATAAAATGTATTAATAATCTTGGTGGAATTGGGGAATGGGCAGGTTAGTAGAATTCATACCTTTTGGGGCAACTGTCCAGAGAATCAGCTCAAAACAGCTGTCAGGACACAGTCTTGAGAAATAAAGGCTTTCAAGATGGGCCAGATCTGAAACAGACATCACAAAACAAATGTCAATACAATTACTTTTCTCCAACTAAAGAAGTCAATTGGCATCTCAGCGAGTTCTGGCAATTTCACCAACCATTTTTCCAAGGCGGGTCATGCCTGGTTTTTCAATCTTTGTGTACACAATAATCTTGATGGAATAATAATATACCGGCATAATCTTCTATGACTTTTTTGTGTATCCATCAGTCCTAAAAGGAAATGTTGTGGCTTCAATATTAATCTTTAAAATTCTTCATATTAATGTATATATTTGAATCTAAAATGTTTTAGTTTTACATTTTCACCAAGTATGTCCCTTTGTATTGCTTACATTTTCAACATGCATTTGGGCTTCCTTTATGTATTCTGTATGATTTCTCTGGCATTATGTACCAACAATACATCAATTTATAAAAAAATCCTTTAAGATTGTAACCTAATGTAAATTTCAACCTTTTGACCACATATTTTCCCATTGGTCCATCTGTATATTATAACCAAAATTTGTAGCCCATTTTATAATACATTCTTTAACCTGTTCTTCCATTTCAAATTTCAACAAAAGTTTATACATTTTAGCAATTACATGTTCATCATCAGTATACAATTGCACTTCATATTCTCTTACTTTGTTCCATACCATAAGTCTTGTTATCCATTTTAAATCCTTTTGATATAACTCTAAATGGGAAAATCATTGACAATTATATCCTTCTGCCTTTAGTTGTTCTCTTGATTTGATTTTATATTCCTCTTGGTGATTCTCCAATAATTCCTGCTACGTTAACTTTCTGTCTTTGCCTGCTGTTTCACTTCTTGTGCAGAGATCCATAGAGGTGTTTTCAGGCATAGCCTGGTTTTATATCTATTTCTTATTCTCAGCATGGCACATCTAATAAAATGTTATTTATTATCCACATTTAACTTTATCATCCATGCCATCTAAACCTCAGATTGTGCCTTTTCAACTCCAAAACTCTAACTCTTATGGGGTTTTGTGTGTGAAAAAAATGATTTTGTGACTTTCAATGAGAAAAAATAGGTTATAGAAAGAAGGGAAATATGATACAATTTTAGAGAGAAAGAGATTAAAATTGTCTGTATAACTACTGAGAGGAAGATTGGAAGCCACTTCCTCAATTATTTTTTCTTTTTTTTTCTTTTTTTCCCCTTTTTTCTATCTCCTTTTTTCTTTCTCCATTTCCTTTTTCTTTTTCACATTCACTGTGTTTTTTTCTTTGAAGAAAAAGGTTTCAAGGTTTTGGTTACCACCTTTAGAGCGCTCCATGGCTTAGGACCTGGGTACTTACGGGACCGCCTTCTGCCACCAGTAGCCTCTCACCAACCAGTACGCTCACATAGAGAGGGGCTCCTCAGGGTGCCGTCGGCCAAACAGTGTCGACTGGCAGCCCCCAGGGGGAGAGCCTTCTCTGTGGGGGCACCTGCCATCTGGAATGAGCTCCCCGCGGAGATACGGAGGATCCCGGATTTACGCACCTTCCGCTGTGCCTTCATGACCTTTTTATTTCAGCAGGCTGGCCTGGCCTAACTTCCCTTTTAAATTGTAAATTTTAAATTTGTTTTAAAACATTAGGGGTGTTTTAATTTGTTTTGGGCCAAATTATTTAATGGGTTTTTATATTGTCTTTTAAATTTTGTAGTTTGTGTGTTTTATCTTTTTGGCTGTTCACCGCCCTGAGTCCTTCGGGAGTAGGGCGGTATATAAATCCAATAAAATGAAAAAAAATGAAATTAGAATATAGAATCATATGGCTGAAAGGGATATCAGAGGTTTTCTAGTTTTTAATAAATTATTTTTAAAAGGAAAAAAGAAACTGACATCAAATGAAATGCTAGAATTTTATTGATCTAGGCTATAACTTCAGAATCTTAGAAGTCTGGAAATTTTCTTGCCCCCCCCCTTTTTTTTTTTTTTTACCATAGTCAAGGTGTGGCAATCTTCTCATATTTTCCAGCTTTCCTGGGCTGAGTTTTACTAAAGATTATTGCATTGTTTCTCTAAACTCATCTCTGTGCTCCTCTGTAACTCTCCCCACTCTCGAGCTGGCTAGAGTAATGCTGGAGGCCAGAGGAGTTGAATGTAGATATTCAGGAGAGTGCAGTGGGGGTATGTGTATTCTAGGATGACTCAACACCACTAGCTCAACACAGCCAACCGGGGCAGCCTTCTTGCCACTGACAAGCTCCCTCCTCTCCCAACTCATTGCCGCCATCTCTTTGCACGACATCTCAACACTGGAAATCTGCTGCGGGAATAACTCACTGCGGGCACAGGATGGAGAGCCAGGCAGACAAGCAAGCGGGCTGTCAGAGGGGGGCAGCGAAGGATGGAGAGTGGAATTAGAGGCAGCAGTGCAGAAGCAACTGCATGGGATGGGGTGTCAAAATGGAAAATCCCTGCCACCCTGCAACTTTTTTTATAGCCATATTGCTTAATGTTTGAGGGTGCCTTGCTCTGAAAATAAGGCCAGTTTTGGGAAGTAGTAGGGTGGGATGTCAGCTTTTTTTTTTAAAATTAAAAAGTCTTGTTTTGAGTTGCATTCAAATCCTTTCCCCTCAAGCAGATTGCAGAGTTTCCCAGCTTTGGGAGAAATCATTCTGCACATGACCAGAAACACTTCTTTTTATTTTTATATTATTTTTTCCCTTAAACTTTTTATTAGATTACAGAATAAAATAGAAAAGCAAATAGGAAGACACAGTGAGGGGGAGAAGGGGAAATAAAAGTGAGCAGGGGTGGGAGGGGAAAAAAAAGAAAGAAAGACCAGAAACACTTTTGATTGCAGCAATGTTCCTACAGAGCCAAGTGGATGATTTAATTGTTTCTGGTCACGTGCAGAATGCTTTCCTAGTGTTTCTGGTCAGGTACAGTTGCAAGAAAAAGTATGTGAACCCCTTGGGATTACGTGGAGTTTTGCATGAATTGGTCATAAAATGTGCTCTGAACTTCATCTAAGTTACAACAATAGAAAAACACAGTCTGCTTAAAATAATACTACACAAACATTAGATGTTGCCATGGTTTAATTGAACATAACGTAAACATTCACAGTGCAGGGAGGAAAAAGTATGTGAGCCCCTAGCCTAATGACTTCTCCAAGAGCTAATTGGAGCCAGGAGTGAGCCAACCTTGACTCCAATCAGTGTGATGATATTGGATGTGTTGCTGACAGCTGTCCTGCCCTTTAAAAACACACACCTGTTTTGGGTTTACTGGTTTCAAGAAGCACTGTCTGATGTGAACCATGCCTCGCAGAAAAGAGCTCTCAGAAGACCTACGATCAAGAATTGTTGACTTGCATGAAGCTGGAAAGGGTTACAAAAGTATCTCCAAAAGCCTTAATGTTCATGTGTCCACGGTAAGACAGACTGACTACAAATGGAGAAAGTTTAGCACTGTTGCTACTCTCCCTAGGCGTGGTCGTCCTGTAAAAATGACTGCAAGAGCACAGCGCAGAATGCTTCATGAGGTAAAGAAGAATCCTAGAGTGTCAGCTAAAGACCTACAGAAATCTCTGGCACATGCTAACATTTTTGTTGACACATCTACAATAAGGAAAACATTAAACAAAAATGGAGTACATGGGAGGACACCACGAAGGAAGCCATTGCTGTCCAAAAAAAATATTGCAGCACGTTTGAAGTTTGCAAAAGAGCACCTGGATGTTCCACAGCACTACTGGGCAAAATATACTGTGGACAGATGAAACCAAAATTGAGTTGTTTGAGAAGAACACACAACACTATGTGTGGAGAAAAAAAGGCACAGTACACCAACATCAAAACCTCATCCCCACTGTAAAACATGGCGGAGGGAGCATCATGGTTTGGGGCTGCTTTGCTGCCTCAGGGCCTGGACAGATTGTTGTCATTGATGGGAAAATGAATTCCAGAGTTTATCAAGACATTTTGCAGGAAAACATAAGACCATCTGTCCGCCAATTGAAGCTCTGCAGAGGATGGGTGATGCAACAGGACAATGACCCAAAGCATACAAGTAATTCAACAAAAAAATGGCTTCAACAGCACAGAATACGCCTTCTGGAGTGGCCTAGTCAGAGTCCTGACCTCAATCCGATTGAAACGCTGTGGCATGACCTTAAGAGAGCGATTCACACCAGACATCCCAAGAATATTGCTACACTAAAATAGTTTTGTGAAGAGGAGTGGTCCAAAGTTACTCCAGGTCGTTGTGCAGGTCTGATTTGCAACTACAGGAAACATTTGGTTGAGGTTATTGCTGCCAAAGGAGGGTCAACCAGTTATTAAGTCCAAAGGTTCACATACTTTTTCCTCCCTGCACTGTGAATGTTTACATGTTATGTTCAATTAAACCATGGCAACATCTAATGTTTGTGTAGTATTATTTTAAGCAGACTGTGTTTTTCTATTGTTGTGACTTAGATGAAGTTCAGAGCACATTTTATGACCAATTCATGCAAAACTCCACATAATCCCAAGGGGTTCACATACTTTTTCTTGCAACTGTACAGAGAGTTTTCCACCCAAAGCCATATGGGTGATTTCATTGTATTTCGGGACATGTGCAGAGTCCATTTGGAGAGTCGCAGCAATGTTTCCCCCCAAAGCCGACACCGATGTTGTGAAAGGAGTAATGCTGAGAAGAGGGTTTCTTTCCAGTTTGGACTCCAAAGTTTTCTGTCCACGCAGCCCCATTTCTCTAGTGCATCAGATCCTGCAGCTAAATGTGGCTGCAAACTTTGCAATCTGCTTGACAGGCAAGGATTTGAATGCAACTCAAAACAAGACTTTTTAGGGTTTTTTTAAAAAAACCTGACATCCCATCCCATTGCTTCTTCAAAGCTGCCCTTATTTCCAGAATAAAGCACTCTCAAACAATGTTTTTTAAGCAATGTGGCTTAAAAAAAAAAAGTTGCACAGTGGCAGGGGCTTCCCATTTTGACACCCCACCCAATGCCATGTCTCTGTACTGTTGCCTCTAACTCCACTCTCCACCCATTGCTGCCCCCCTCTGACAGCCAGCTTGCTCCCTCGCCCAGCTCTCCAACTAGCACCCTCAACAAATTATCCCTGAAGTAAATTTCCGGTGTTGAGATGTCCTGCAAAGAGATGGCGGCAGCGAGTTGGCAGAGGGGACTTGACGGTGGTGAGAAGGTTGCCCCCTGCTGGCCTTGTCGAGATATCGGTGTCAAGTCATCCCATTCTGGCAGTGGGAGGGATGTTGCCTTTGAGATTTCGGAAGTTGTTTCAGTTTTTATTGTTGTTTTGTGAGCTAGCCAAAGTTATGGTATGCATGATGGGCAGCCATGTAAGTCTTTTAAATAAATGAATAACATTTCCCATCTTACAGGTAAACTCTTGTGCCTGGTCATGGAGGGAAGGACTTTTGAATGTTTGGTTCTGTAGCACAACAGTTATGGACAGTATGGCATTTTATGCTGCAGTTTCTTTTATCTTCCATAATCCTACAAAGATGTATAGATAGTCATGTTACTCCTTAGTGCCAGTGAGACTGTGAGGAGAAATAAGTAGCTGGGGCAACAAACAACCGTCAGGTTTTTTTCCAAATTTCAATCCAGCAACTCCAGCCAGCAAGACAATGAGGGGAGCAACCAGGAGCTGTCTTAGTAACATCCAGAGGTCACAGGCTCCTTTCTTCCCTCCTCAATCAGGGCTAAAGCCCCAAAACGGTTTCATTTTAGCTGGCAAAATTATTCACTTTTAGAAATTCTATAGTTGATAAAAACTACTCTGCACTCATTGTGAACATTAAAAATCATACCTACTCTCTGAATGCTCAAGGAATTTTAGACTAACTCAGTCATCTTTTCATTAGTTTTGTAAAGTAGTTCATTATTATTATTATTATTATGGCCATTTTTTAGATGGGAAGAAGGCTGAAAGAGCCTTGAAATTCTTTGCAAAGGTGATGTTTGAAGTAGGGATTTGGGGGATCACAGGGTTTCCACACTTTGTCAGTACAAAGGACTTCCACTCGTATCTCTAGCCTCGGTTCTATTCCTGAGGCTTTTCTCCTATTCTTTTGCTTTCCTCCCATAGGCAATGATGGCTGTGCGAAATGTGCTGGTGACTGGCTGCTCCTCTGGCATTGGGCTGGCCCTGGCCGTGCGCCTGGCAAGAGATGAACTGAAGCGATTTCGAGGTAAGCCCAGAAACTTTGAAGAAAGAAAGGAAGCCCTCCCTAACTTGGCCAGAGTGTGCCTTATAATTCCTGGTCTACATTCTTTTTCCTTAGTTTTTGCCACCATGAGAAATTTGGAGAAAAGTGAAGCCCTGAAGAAGCAAGCGGGGCCTGCCCTGGATAAGATGCTTGAAATCAAAGAACTGGATGTGACCAGTGAGGACTCTATCAGGCGCTGCGTGAACAGCATCCCCCAACGCAGGGTGGATGTGCTGGGTAGGAAAACAAGCCCTTTCTCCCAATAAAGCCCCTCTTATACAGGATGAAGAGGATTTGTTTGGACTGTGGCTGCACTAGACCATACAGTCTAATGTTCCTTTTGCACCAACTGGTCTGGTCACTGCCACGGCCAGCAAACTAGAACATAATGTCGGAATTAGACTTTGATCCATTGAGAGCTTTTTACCCCAATTTGATATCCCCTAGGTATCTTTGAACGGTGGTTTCCAGGATTTCCAGCTCCCATAGACACTGGCTGAGGGAGGGCAACAAATTGGGGAAGTTACATCTAAGATGCTTAATGTATTTGCCAACTCCAGTTTAAGCTGTTTGGACATATCCATGAATACTTTGTGATAAAGAAGTTCTAAACATAAAACATATTTGGGCAAGGAGCAGGGCCGGATTTAGATTGAAAGAGGCCCTAGGCTATTCCACTTATGAGGCCCTTTCACCAGTGGTGGGATTCAATTTTTTAACAACAGGTTCTGTGGGCGTGGCTGTTGGAGGTGTGGCTTGGCAATCATGTGACTAGGTGGGCGTGGCTAGCTGGTCACGTGACTGGGCGTGGCTAGCTCGTCATGTGACCGGGTGGGCGTGGCTATGTGCATAGACTTTTTTCAGAGGGCTGAAAAATTTCTGACTGGGCCTCGCATTTTTGACCGGTCCTCACACTTATGACCATCCTCACATTTATGCCCGTGCAGCTTTCTTAACAACCATGTCACTCATTTCACAACTGCTTCTCTTCACCATGGTGACAAGATAGGGCAAAAATGTAAAATGTGAGGACAGTCGTAAGTTCGAGGACTGATCAAAAGTGCGAGGACCAGTCAGAAATAACTTTTTCAGCCCTCTGAGTAGTCCATATGCATAAAAGGATACAGCAATAGAGAGGGATGAATGAAGGGAAGGGAAATTAGAGTAGGAGAGAGAGGGAGGAAGAGAGGAGGAGAAGGAGAAAGGAAGAGGAAGTAGAGAGGAGAAGAAGAGGGGGAGGAAGAGAAAGTAAGAAGGAAAGAAAAGAGAGGTGGTAGGTTTGAGGAGAAAGATTGCTGTACAATAAAAAAGATGAAAGGGAAGAAAGCCAACCCCAAACAAATATAAAGATATTAAGATAAAGAATGAATTGTTAAACTTTAAAGAATAAAAGAGAACAAATATGAATAAATAACAATAATTAGAAACACACATACAAACATACAATGTATTTTCTTTGAACAGAGTATTTGGCCGGTTCACAAATTTAAACAGTGTTTAGTCATTTCAATTAAATTTACAATTTCTATATTTCCTTTTTGCCATATTTATTCCTCATCTATTTTTGTAAAAAACCAATATTACCCTCATCCTCATCTCTAATCTTAATCAAATTCAATTTTTCCCTTCTATTCTATATTATACCCCTTCCCATTGTCATCTATTTTTATATCCATCCTCACATTGTTTAATTATGTAATATTACAGTTGTTTAATATGAATTCAACATTTTAATATAAATCAATTAGTTATATAACTACCTTTTTTGTATATTAATCAATATGAACGTGAATATTCCAATTATTTCCATGCAATCCAATTTCTTGCAAATCAATTAATTATATTTACCAATAATAATAAACCAAATAATTTCCCCCATATATTCCTCCAAACCACAACTTAACCATTTCTGCTTTCAACACAATATACAATTAATAGTATCTCAATTATTACAATTCCCTAGTTAAATAGAGCTTTTTTTCTTTTGTGTTTTAAAATCTCCTCTTTTTCCCTAAATTTCCTGTTGTTTGCACCTACCTTTTTTGGTGAGGAAAAAGAAATCTGCCTGCCTAATTTTCCAACGTGCAAAGCCAACAGCCTGCTTTACTTTCTCTTTCGTTTTTCAGTATAGCTAGGGGGGAAAAAATCAGCACTCTTTGCAAGCAAGGAGCAGATCCGTGAGCAAAACAGCTGAGAGCAAATCAGCTGGGGGTCGGCAGCCGATCTAAGCAAGGGCTAATTAGCCTATGCTGAAGCTCCGGGGGCCAATAAAATTACAAAAGCAACACCGAACCCTTTGTTAAATTGCTGGCTCCCCCGCCCCTCGCCCACCACTATTTATTGGCAATAAATAGTGGTGCGGAGGGGCGGGGCAAGCCAGCAATTTAACAAAGGGTTCGGCTGCACCACTGGCTCTAGGGCGGCCCTTTGAAGCCCAGCGGCAAGAATTTGAAGTTTTTTTTTCCTCTAGCCATCAGAGGCAGCAATAGATTGGGGGTGGGCGGGGTAAGCGAACAGCCGACGATCTAATAGAGCAGAGAGTGAGGGTGAGTGAAGGCGTGGAAGCTGCTTTCTCCATCCGGAGCCGGTGGGGAACCACGTGGCAGCCCACGTGGATCCCAGGCAGCGGAACTCAGGCTAGGGAAGGGGTGGGCAATTGTGGCTCTTTTACAACCTGTGGCCTTCAACTCCCAGAATTCCTCAGACAGCCAAGCTGTCTCAGGAATTCTGGAAGTTGAAGTCCACAGGTTGTAAAAGAGCCACAATTGCCCACCCCTGGCTACGGTAGGCTGGCGCCACGCGGGTGGGAGGCGAGGGCCAGGCGAGCCAGCAATTTAACAAAGGGCTCGGCCGAACCCCCTAGAACCCCTAGAATCCCACCACTGTGTAGGCCCCTCTTGATCTTGAGGCCCTAGGCTGAAGCCTAGTTAGCCTATAGGAAAATCCGGCCCTGGCAAGGAGCCTAGGCTATCCTTTCTCTGCAAAATGGCGTTTATATGGGAAGTTTTATCATAAATCCAGAACTGAAAGTTCCATCTTCCACCTTCAAAAATGCAGGTTCAGTGAGGATGTGACAAGTTGTGATTTGTAATAGTGGAGTAGCATATGAATCACTTAATAGCAGTGGATGGTGTATATTGCTGAGGAATAGGGGAAGCTCTGTGAGCTGCCATTTGGAAATAATCTTGTCCAGGTGTTTCTCAAAATACAGAGAAAGCCCAACAGATCCTCAAGGTAGGCCAGTGTCATCTTTGCTAACAATTGCTAGGATTTCAAGACAGTGAGTTAGATTGTAACACCGTCTCCTCTTCTCCATTGCTGATTTCGCAAGTTCACAAGGATTTGAAATACTGCTTTCTCCTGTTCCCTCTTGCTAACTTACCACTCCCTTCCCATACAGTGAACAATGCAGGATTTGGCCTGATTGGTCCAGTGGAAAGCCAGAGCATGGCCTCAATCCAACACCTCTTCGACACCAACTTCTTTGGCTTGGTGCGCCTTGTCCAGGAAATTTTCCCTGATATGAAGCAGCGAAAGAGAGGGCATATTGTTGTGATGAGCAGCGTCCTAGGTTTGCAAGGTGAAGCTCCTTTTGGAGGACAAAGGAGAATGTTGTAGAATCCTCTGGACAACCAATCTTGATTATCCCAGAGGATGAGGGTGGGACGGGTTCCAGAGAACGGAAGCACCCTTGGCAATGGATTTCTATGGCAACCACATCACCCACTAAATACAGGCTATTTGTCTGAAACATGTGAAGCTGGCCTATACCAAGTCATACTGTTGGTCCATCTTGTCTTCTCTGACAGGTAGCAGCTCTGCAAGGTTGCAGGCAGTGAGAGTATTTCCAGTCTTGTCAAGATCCTTTTAACATTATGCTCCGTCCTTTCTTTGCTACAGAACAAAGAACTGGAGGCAAGTCATGCAAAGGAACCTAGCAGTACCTTGCAGGGAAAGGGGCTTGCAAAGAAAGGGAAGGGAACCCAAAACACTTCCCTCCCTGGGCAAAATCATTCATGAACCTGAGGAGGATTTTAAAAAGCATTCAAGCTGACCTGTTGTGTATTTCTTTGTCAACATCCCATCAGGGACCTTTACAAGCTTAACTTGGCTGTTCTTCTGGGTACACATAGATAAACTAAACGAGAAACTAAATTAATGGGCTGTGCTTGCACAACACATTAAACAATAAGAAAAGTTAAAACCAACAAACCTCTACAAAGTGTACAAATGTAGCTACTCAGTCTTTAATTGACCTAGTTAAGTAGACTTTGCAGACGCAGCCAGAGTGCAAGATGTTACACTATCAAGTAAAATGAACCCTCTGGATTTCAGTTTTCTAATCAAAACTTGTTAGTAGTCAGGTCTGTGTTCACATGACACCATTCAGGTCATTTAACTCAAACCAGATATTCCAAGTTCTTGTGATATATAAACCACAGACTGATGGCATATGCTGGGTTCACACAATATATTAGACTAACAGGTGGTTTGCTGCATTATGGTTCAATGCCAAATCAAATATAGCCAGAATGGTTCTTGTTTGTGCAAGCAAGAGCCAATGCCACTCCTGAATGTGTGTGAAACTCTACCTTCTTTAATTCAGTCTTACAAAGTAGGTTGACATACTAAACAATAAACCCATGATATTTTTCCATACCTTCTTTCTGGCTCTAGAAAAGCTTCATCTGCTTTAGTATCTATATGTTGGGTTAAAAAGGAGAACATACAATTAAAAGCACAGCAGCAGGGCAGGCCCAAGAAGGGACACGTTTGCTACTCAGTGCAAAGCAGCTTCGGTTTTCTTTTGGGAAATCTTGTTAGCAGTAGTAAAAAAACAAACTACTCATGTCTATGAGTCATCTTTTTTTCTTGCAATATTTAATTCCCTGCAGGTCTCCTCTTCAATGATATCTACTCTGCCTCCAAATTTGCTGTGGAGGGTTTCTGCGAGAGCTTAGCCCTGCAGGCCCTAAAATTTGGGATCAGGTAAATACAGTGGGATTGGAATTAAGACAGATCACGACTGAGGTTCCCCTCATTTCCCTCATTTCTTTTTTTTTTTTAATTTGATTTATATGCCGCCCTTCTCCGGAGACTCAGGGCGGCTTACAATGTGCTCAGCACATTGGGCATTATTAGACTAATACAACTCAGGATAGGGTCAGTAAAAATTAAATGAGCAAGCACAAAGCTCAAGATTGCGTGCCAATCTTGAGACTTATTTTTCCAGAGTTGCTAAAGTTTAGTGCAATTAGATCTGGGCTGAAAGAATCCATAAAACACTGATGGCAGCCAAATATTCACACTTTTTATCTCTTAGTTGACATCTAGTGGTCCTATGGATTTTTACCAGTCAGATTTCATAGTCCAGCCAAAGCAGCTTTCAGCTCCCAATCACTACACAGCACACATATACACACTCCAGTCCAGATAGGGTAGCTGCCTTACCTTACTGACCTGGATTACAGCACTAGGCTAGGATGAAGAAAATACTTATTCAGATCTCTATTCAGCTCATTTCGCTGGTTGCCCTTGCATCTAAACACCAACTTTCTCAAATGTTAGCCTCTGAGAATTGTGGTAAAGAAGCAGTTCTAAAAATAACTTTTCCCAAATGCGTATATCCCTTCCGTCAAGTTGTGGGAATACTGTTTTTTTGTCTAGCTCTGAAAGACTTTTAAACTCTCAAGCAGTGAGAGGGAGGGAGGGGGGGGAGAGATCTTCTACCCGAGTTTGTTTTAACTAGAGAATGTTGAATCATTAGACTGCTTTTAGAAAAAGTAATAGTAATACATGCTTTTAAATATTGTGTTTTTATTTTTTAGCTGTTTTGCATTTTTTAAAGAGATTAATTATGATAGATGGTTGTTCAAAAACAATAATGAGTTCAGAAAAGGGCAGGCGGTCATTTAATATCAGTGTTATTTTTTCCTTCCTTGTTTAATAAATGTTTAAACTACCCCTTGACCTTACAGATGACAGGCATATAAAATGATATAAATGGAAAATGTATTATTAAAAAAAGCTTGGAAATGAAATATTCCTTTGGATCCATGTCTCCTCATCTTCCGTGAGGTTTGGATCCTAAACACAGAATGGGAAGAACATCTGGAGATGGTTCTTAAGGAAACCTTTTAACTCTCCAAAAATTATTGAAAATAACATTGATTGGTGGAACACAAACAGGGTCAGGGAATTGTCATTTTTATACATTAAAAGGGTACAAATCTCTAATGCAGTTTTGTGGGAGCTGAAGTCCACACATCTTAAAATTGCCAAGTTTGGGGAAACCTGCTACACACACATACACACAAATTTCTTCAAAAGATAATATAAAAAACAAAAGAAATTGAAAAGAAAAAAGTAGAGGAAAGTGCAAGGAATAAAGAAAAAAAATATATCAATATTAGCTGCAGAGCAGGGGTGCCAAACTCATGGTGTCACCTGACGTATCATGACTTTTTCCCACTTTGCTAAACTGGGCATGGGCATGGCCAGTGCGTGACGCATCCAGCCTGCAAGCCGCAAATTTCACACCGCTGGTGTAGAGAGTCACTCAACAGGGAGATGGGTGACATAAATTAAATAAATAAATAAATAAATAAATAAATAAATAAATAAATAAATAAAAATAGTACCTGTAATAAGTCATTTTAATCACTGAAATTTTACCAATAATGACAATTGCAATTTGTCCCATTTTAGTACATCCTTTTTGATAATGTCATACCTTAACATAATTATACATACAGTTCATATTATTAAATATAACCTCCATATATATAATATTTTCAATATTAAAGCCAGTCTTTTCATCAAAGTCTCAATCTTTAAGGTTTTCAAAATAAGATTTGACAACCATTTGTCCTGGGTGGTACAAGGACTCGGCCTTGGACAGGGGGGTTGAACTAGAAAACCTCCAGTGTACCTTCCAGTCCTGTCATTCACTGATAATAATTCTATGTCATATTCTTAACTAATATTTTTATTGTTTATTTACTTAAAAGCCAGCTAATGCATCAAAGTCCTTCAAATTTTAATAAAATCTAAATTTTATTTTAGTAAAGAAGGCAGTAAGTGTCTTGTTTAAATTTTCAATCTCATTATTTCCCATCCTGTCTAATGCCTCTGTTGAATGCTTAAAAAACAAAGGGGGCAAAGGAGAGAAACCCTGCTTTAATTATCACCCTGTTTGTTGGGGATGGTAAACTTTTTTCCATGTACTTGGGCTGCAATCCTTTGGGAGTAGATAGACTGGAGGTCCGTTAGCTGAAAAACAGATGGTCTTTAAACATGCTCAATTGATGCCTAATCCTACCACCTCTGTCTGAAATATGGACCACAAGGGTGCTATTTACTGCATTTGTTGACTTCAGTGGTAGAGAATGTGATGAAAGTTGTTTGAATGTTATTGATATTTTACCATTTCATAGTTTTAATTGTAATTTATTATGCTAGTCACAAATAATAATTAAAAATTGACTGTGCCTCTTTAATTTAAGGTTTTGCTTTGAACATCAGACCCAGATAGACCTCTGCAAGACTATGGGGCTGAAAGAAAGCATGAGATATGCATTATAATTAAATTCTTCTGAATCAAAATAGAGATTTGTAAAATGGTTTCAATTTTTTTCTTCATAGTACAGTTTTTTGAACTGAAGTAGGCTAAGAGCTCTTGCTTAGTAAAGATCAGGCCTTGGGTTCTAAGTCATATAATTATGTAGAACAAATTGGAACCATCTTAAGATGTCTGCTGTGATACTGGTTCTTGAAGATGTTCGAAGATGAGGAAACCTGCTTCTTTGTCAAACAGATTGTTAGATCGCTCATGAGGGCGAGGGGAATCCTGATTATTCACTGTTTCTTTCCTCCTACAGAATTAGTTTAATTGAGCCAGGACCAGTGTTATCAGAGTTTGAAAAGAAGCTTTATGAAGAAGCAGCAAGCAAGGATCTCTCGGGTGTGGATAAAGAGACACTTGATATATTCCACAATTTCTATCTAACCTACTCCAAGGAGGTCTTCACTGCACTGGGGCAGTCTCCAGAAGAGGTGGCTGAGGTAAGATGATGCTTCTCCCTATTTTGGAATAAATGCCTAGTCTCTGCTGCTTACTGAGCCTTTGTTTGGACGGAGTCTTTGTCTTTAACTTGACTGTGGGGAAACCAGTCTCAGCCCAAAGTGATAATGGCAAGGAGCATGAGTGGGCAGGTAATTGACTGATGAGTCTAAGTGTTACACCTAGGTATTGTCCAGGTAACAAGGAATCAGTTATGCAGATGAAAGTAATTTCCATCTCTCTACATGTAGGCAATGAAGACATAATATACACGATCCGTTGACTTATTTGGAGAATTATTATATTGAGACGCAGCTTCCACAATACAGTACATAGGAGAGATAGGCAACTAAAAGTAAGGCTCTTAAAGATGGGTTTCTATTCAGTCCCTTCAATCATAACTCTCTTCTGTTCTTCAATCAGAGATAACAAATAAATGTGTTCCACTCTCTCCTGTACGCACAATGGAAGAGAATCATTTGTTTGGAGCATTATGTTTAAATATTAAATTATGTTTAATAAAACATGCTGCTTATCACACCAGTGGTCCTTAAAAATACTGCCTGATATTTATTTTGGGGTTGTTTTTTTAAGTGGCATATGCCATTAGTGCAGAGAAAAATATTCCATAAAACGTAATTGTATGTGATCTCTTGGAAATGGGCTTTGCCAGCATTTTATTATTATAGGCCAGTGGCCCCAACCTTTTGGACACCAGGGACCAGTTCTGTGGAGTTTTTTTGGTGGACCAGATGGGACGTGGTTTCTCATACTGCCTGCATCACACAGATGGGGCTATATTTGTTTGTGCGGTCTGGTTTCTGACATACTGCGGACCAGGGCCAGTCCATGGACAGGGGGTTGGTGCCCTTGTTATAGGCAAAAAAAAGAGAAAAGGAGATAATCTACAAAAGTATACTTTTTTTTTTTTTTACTAAAAATGTAGGTCAGGGCTACACTGACTTTGAGAATGATTCAAAGTCTTGTGTCTTGTAGGACTTGTGTGAATAGTTGTATTGACTTTAATGAGTGGATTTCTTAAAACTGCACTTTTTTTTTTGCATGAAAACACAAGAGATGTGGTGTACTTACCTGCATAAAGCCAGAAGACTACTTTTTCTAGATCTGTTCCCTGTGTCTTCAATTCTTAAACAATGCACTCATCATGACTACAATTGAATTTATTCAATGATGGCTTCCCTCCAATAATTTCATAATATTAATTTCGACTGAGACCCCCGTCAGCTTCCAAATATGTAATACAGTCTTGAATGACTACTATGAGAAGCGTAATAATAAGCCCATGTATATGTGAACATGGTATATATGCCAGATATGAAATTCCTTTGGTTAAAAAACAGATGGCCAACTTCTACAGCTGATGGGTTTTACTATCAAATAACCTTATTATTGACCAAGTTAATAGTCTTCTTCAAACTGCAATGTAAAGCTTAAAAAATATCCTGATTGTTTGAAGCTTCATCTTGACTCTAAGATCAGACCTTTAAATGTTTGCTACCTTTCTCCATCCTAATTAACTTATACCCCCCCTCCAAACATACACTTTTCTGTAAAACACAGGTAGTAGTTTGCATTTCTAATTCCATGTCTTGCTCTTTTTTCTGGCAGCATGTGCTGAAAGTGATCACCTCCGAGAACCCTCCATTGCGATATCAAACCAACAGTTTCTACACACCCATCACCACTCTCAAACATGCGGACCCCAGTGGAAACCTGCCTCTCAATACTTTTCATCAGATGATCTTCCAACATGATCGGCTCTTCAAAGCCAGTCTCAGCCTCCTTAAAATGCTCCAGTGGAGGAAGAGGCGAGATATGGATTAGATCGCCCACAAGTATAGAAGATGCTAGCTGCCTCAGAGCCCTTTATTCCCTAATAGGCTTCTGAAAAGAGTCTGTTCATTGGCTATAAGATCATACTTATAGCTTACATGCAGATTTTTTTCTTGTAGTGCAGAATGAGGTGACCCTGGTCTGATTCAGTTTGTTTTGTTTCTTTGTTGCTTCAAAGCAATAAGGAGTTAGAATGAGATAATATTTTTGATCTGGGGGTTGCAAGGAGTGTCATATTTTTGGTGTTCCTTATGTAACATCTTTGAATAATACATTTTTAATAAGCTATGATACCTGAATCAAAAATGTCACCTTGCATTTGCAGTCCAAAGTGGTGTGATCCAAAATAGATCCTGTCGATCTTGTAAAATACGGCATTTTCCAATCTTGGCAACTTCTGGATGAGTGGACTTTGAAGTTCTCATCAAAGGATATCCTGGCTAAGGAATTATGAAAGTTGAACATAGCTACTTTGGGAAATAATGAGCCAGCGCCCCATTCGGTTATATATAATGCCTAACCTTTAAAAATGCACTGGGAGTCTGGTCTTCTACCTAAATGCATTCCCTACTGAACATGTTTTCCAATTCTTGACTATATTAGAACTTCTCTGAAATTAGTTCTGGGAATGAAAGATGTAGTTAAAACAATTCTTAAGGCTAAAGAAAGAGAGCAAGTGCATATTTTAAACTGTTTTCTGTTCCTGAAAAAAATCGACTAGAAGAACCAATTAATGTAAAATAAGAAAGAACAATATAAAAGGACACAAAGAAAAAGAAGATGAGGTAATATGGAAACAAAAATGTCATTTAATGTAGACTATTACTTTTCAGACTTTTATAGGGAAAAAGTCAGCTTACAATAGTTTTTTGTTTCTTTTTCAAATACAACTTGCCAGTTCCCAAATCCTTTTTAATTGAGGCAGAAGTAGGATCAGTTAGCTAATTTGCATTATTGTCCAAAAGTATGTACATGATACAGAAGACATTCTTTTTTATATATAGCAGAACCAAAAGTATTTGCATTACATGGGCATTGACAAGGTTTGAGGCCTGAGGATTTCCTTATGCATCTTTATCCAGAAGCAAGTCTTACTCAGTTTAGTGGACTTCCTTCCTAGTAAGTGTTCATTGGATTGCTTCCTCAGTTTTGCTCTTTTCACATTCAATAATCTGTGAAATAAAAATTTACATATAGGAAATGGCTGCTTTAATATCGATCTTGAATCTAGATGCGTTGTAATCCATTGAACTACTAATGCTACATTTTCCACAAGTGACTTTTCAGCTCAAAACAATTCACTGTCTAAAATACACTGATAGACCAAAATCCATCATAAGTAATAAAATTAGAATACTCTATTATGAGCATTAATTATTAAATAGTTGTTTATATAAAGGACACTATAAGTTTACTATGCAGCAGAGAATGTTCTAGTGTATTAATTTCACACCCTTTTATGCAATCCATACTGAGACATACAATACTTGGCCCAAATCAAGCTTGCAGGAAAAGAGAAAAGGTACAGCTCTCGTAGGAAAATTATCCTTAACAATGACATGCAACAACACTAGACAAAATATGTGATATATCCCTATACCTCAAACAAAACTAAAAGAACTCCAATGACTTACCATGATGTAAGGCTATTTTATCCTGGAGGTGCTGATGTTGGCATAAATAAAACCCAGAATGCCCAACACCAGTAACAGGAAGGAGCCTGGGTGCTATGTGCCAGCACTTCCCCTATTAATTCGCTTCACAAGAGCCTTGTGGTAGCCTTATGTCAAAGGTCATTGTGGTCTTTGAATCCTAAGCTCTATATTTGCTACGTGTCTTGTAACAAAAAAACAAACAAAAAAAAATCCTCACCAAAGTCTCTTGTTATGAGCCTGAAACAGATGTACTTCAACAACACAACTCCTTTATAGATTTTCACGGTGAGTTAAGTGTGACTGCTTACCTCATTGCATTTGTACGTAGCTAAGCTAGTGGTTCTGAAGCAAAACAATATTTGTGTTAATGTTTTGGGATGAGATAAGATGTGCTTTAGAAGGCAACACTTCCTGAGGCACATCCTATCATTTCTTAGACTCTGGTTTTTATGACGACTTTTGATAAATATCAATGCTGTAGCTACATTATTATTATATGTACTCCCTGGGCGGTGCTAAATTGATGACAACGACCAGATGCAGCCGTACTGTTCTCTTGGGCCTCACAGTCACAATAAACAGAAGTGTATAAATCAAGTATCCTTAGTTTTTCAAAACCAGTTAGATCTTTGCTTGATAGGCACACTATCAAATATGTCACCCTATTAATGTCTTTCATTGGAGGTTGCCAATCTGATTTCCATTCTGTGTTGAACCCCCTTTTATAAAGATAGTTGCTCCTGTTGTGCAGCTGCCTAGAAAACGCTTGACCAACTGACTGCATTCATATCTAATGGTAAATTATTTTTTGGTTAACCATAGTTTACAAAGCACAGTGGGTGGTTTTTGCACTTTATTGTTTAACACAAACCCAGCTAAGAAGTCAGCTTGCTGCACTGGAGCAAAAGCTGATCCTGAGACATCCAAGATCAAATGTCCTGTTTAAGCTTCTCTTTCTAAATTTCACTGGATGGTTATTAGAATAAAATTATTTTGTCTCGCATATAATCTAATTATACTCAATTATACGCAGGTAATTCTAATGTAAAACTGTAATTGAGCCCAGAATGATGGTTGTACATTGTGCCGGTCAAGTGAGTAATCACTAACTATGACTTTTTTTGCAGTGGTTGTTAAGTGAATCATCATGGTCGTTAAGCAAATCTGCAATCATTAAGCAAATGCTACAGTCATTAAGTGAACCTGTTGTCTACAATAGGCATTTTTTTTTTGCTAGAAACCAGACATAAATGCCTATTTTCATCAAAAAACAAACTACACTCATAATAGCAGGATGCTGCAAATGGACATGTATGGGGACTAGTTTCTGAGTAGCCAAAATGTAATCATGTTCGGTGGGGGGCAGGGTAACCATTGTTACTGTGAATCTGTGTTGTATCTTTTTTTGGGTTCATTATAACTTCAAACAGTCACTAAGAGGCCTGTCATAAGTTGAGGACTACTTGTAGTAAATCATACTGCAAAAGTGTAACAATCCTTGAAGTTCTTGTTTAGCTTATAACTATAATCCAACTCAGCCTTTCCAACTGGTACCTTTCAGAAATTTTAAGCCTACAACTGTTATCTGGTTGAAAACTCTGGAACTTGTTATCCGAACCACATCTGGAATATTACAACTTAAGGATCTATAGGTGGCAGTATAATCTAATATACTGGTGTGAAGGTGGATAATGTGCATCAATTTAAGAGTCACACAACATTTACCATAGCAGGATTGACAGACTGCTGGGAGTTGTATTAAAACAGCCACTGCTGCCCTGGTGATTTCAGGTAGCTGGAAAACACTAGAGAAGGCCTAGGACTACATGTTGAAGTTAGCAATCATTAATAAATAAACACAAAAAGTGACAGAAAACACAACTGAGCAAAGCAGCCCTAATATATGTGTGTGAAAATTTCATGAATGGTACATTTTGCTTAGAATAGAACTTATAGCCATAGACAAATATATATAAACTTTTTATCATACAGGTAGTCCTCGACCTATGACCACAATTGAGCTGAAAATTTCCATTGCCAAGTAAGACAGTTAAGTGAATTTTGCCCCATTTTACATTTCTTGCCACAGATGTTAGGTGAATCTGGCTTCCCCATTGACTTTACTTATCAGAAGGTCACAAAAGATAAATTACATGACCCTAAGAGGACATGCCAGCTGCCAAATTTTGATCACGTGGCCATGCGGATGCTGCAACAGTTGTGAAAAACAGTCATAAATAACTTTTTCAGTGCTGTTATAACTTCAAACAGTCACTAAATGAACGACTTTAAGTCAAAAACTGCCTATATACTTTTAGGAAGCAAGCCAAAACCTCAACATTGTTTCACTTTAGATCATAAGAACACCATTAAAGGATTCTGTAAGGGCACATAGGTAAAGGTAAAGGTTCCCCTCACATATGTTCTAGTCGTTCCTGACTCTAGGGGGCGGTGCTCATCTCCATTTGCCAAAGAGCCAGCGCTGTCCGAAGACATCACTGTGGTCATGTGGCCAGCATGACTAAACGCCAAAGGCGTATGGAACGCTGTTACCTTCCCACCAAAGGTGGTCCCTATTTTTCTACTTGCATTTTTTACGTGCTTTCGAACTGCTAGGTTGGCAGAAGCTGGGACAGGTAACGGGAGCTCACCCCGTTACGCGGCACTTAGGGATTCAACCGCTGAACTGCCAACCTTTCAATCAACAAGCTCAGCATCTTAGCCACTGAGTCACCATGTCCTTGTGAGGGCACATACAAGCGTAAAGTTTGCCACAGGGTTTTTACATGTAGTCCTCCACTTACAACAGTTCATTTGGTAACCGTTCAGTTGCCATTTTTCACACAACCGTTGCAGCATCCCTATGGTCACATGACCAAAATCCAGACCCTTGGCAATTGACTCATATTTATGACGGTTCAAGTGTCCTGGGGTCATGTGATCACTTTTTGTGACCTGATAAGCAAAGTCAATGGGAAAGCTAGATTCACTTAACAACTGTGTTATTAACAACTGCGGGAAAAGATATAAAATGAGGCAAAACTTACTGTCTCACTTAGCAACAATTAGCAATGTTGGGATCAATTGTGGCTGTAAATTGTGGACTATCTACTTTGCAGGCATTACAGCTTGGAAAATAGCATTTCCTTCTGATATTTATTGGTTCTGCAAAAGGAAACAAAATTTGCTAAAACTAGAAGCACGAAAAACTGGTGTGGTGTTTCCTGCTGTGGAAGGAAGGTCAAGATATATTTTGTTGAGCAAGTTTGTTATGCTAACTGCAAAAAAACCTTGAGAAACTTTATATTTTTTTATTAAGTTTGGTGAAATCGTATATCCATTCCAGGGCATAAGTTTACCTCTAAGGAAAATATATGTCATGTAAACAAGAAATCCAAAAAGCATGCATCAGGAGTGAGAAAATCATAACCTGCCGACTTTCCTGGAATTTTGCAGAAACGAGCAACAAATAGCAGGGAGTTTGGGGGGTTCTAATATCTGGAATGCCACATGCTCCCCTGAATGTTATTCTCACTGGTCAGCTTCATACATTTTATTAAGCCGCTGAATTGTTTGCTTTTTGCCTCTGAAGATCATATCAGTGTGATAAAGTGACCAGCTGGCTTCTGACAATCAAAGTCAATTGGAGGGAAGCTGGATTTGCTTAATGACCACTCATTCACTTAACAACTGCAGTAATTCACTCAATGGGGCCTGGTGGCTCAACAGACTGATAGTATTGTGATTAACACCAGCTGTCTGTGATTACTGTAAGTTCGAATCTCACCAGGCTCAAGGTTGACTCAGCCTTCCATCCTTTCTAAGGTAGGTAAATTGAGAACCCAGTTTGTGGGGGCAATAAGCTGACTGTATAAATATACAAAAGTATGAAGGCTATTGCTTAACGCATTGTAAGCTGCCCTGAGTCTCCAGAGAAGGGCGGCATATAAATCAAATTTAAAAAAAAATCATGGCAAGGAGGACATAAAATTGGGTGTGACTCAACAACCACCTTGCTTAGAAACAGAAATTCTGTTCCCAATTGTGGTCGTAAGTGAAGGGCTACATGTATATGAAGGCCACAATATTCTCCCACTTCTCCACCAATATAGGCAGCGCTCCTTTTTCCAGAACTGCTGCCAACCACTTGAAGTCCACTGTGCTCTATGAAAGCTTAAGCAATGATAAATGTGTGAATCTTTAAAGTTTCACCAGGCATTCCATTTTTACTCCTGCAGTTCTTCCTCTTCCTCCTTTGGAATCCATTGCATCTGCATGGGCTGGTAACCAACAGATCTGAATAAATATTAAGCAAACATTACCCATTTATCTGCAGGATTAGCTTCTGACTAAATTTTAAACTCAGTTTTATTTTTACATTCCAACCTGGAGCAGTGACAATTGCTTGCAGAAAGTATTAGTTCTCTGTTTCCAGAAAAAAATTGGGAATCATTTTTGTTAATTTTTACATGTTTTTACATGGATACTCTAGATTAGACCATAGAATCACAAGGCTCGAAGGGACCAGAATCATTTTACAGAAGAGACAGGTGGCATATACATTTAATAAATAAGTATAAATAAAAGGAGCTTGGAGATCTTATACTCCAACCCCTTGCTCAAGGAAGGAGACGTTATATACCATGCTAGACAAACGATTGTCCAGTCTATTTTTGAAAACTGTAGTGATGAAGCATCCACATCTCCAGGAGGCAAGGTATTCCATTGATTGTTCTGTCAGGAAATTTCTCCTTAGCTCTAGGTTGGATCTCTCTTCTTCACATTGCTTCTTATCCTGTCCTCAGATGCTTTGGCAAATAAGTCAATCCCATATTTTCTCTGACTGATGCTCAAGTTCTGAAAGACAGCTATAATGCTCCTCCTAATCTATTTGATAAACTAGACATCTCTAGCTCTCTCACCATAAAGAAGCACACTCAGCTACTGCAGCTGAATATTTATTAGTCTTTCAAATGACATGGAACTCTTTGTTTTACTATGCCCTATGCACACCCCAAAAAAGTATGTATTGGGTGTGTAGGCAACAGAGGGAGGCCAGTTTGCTCCTAACCAGAGCACTTTTTTGGTTTGATCTGACTCTGGTTGGAAAGGAATAAGAATGAAGTGGGAATGGCTGGAGAGATACTACTATGAAGTAGTGTTCATTGAAAGCCACCTTCTCGACACAGGGCAATCCAAGCAATCAATGCAGCTTTCCTCTACTGCTGCTTTCATCTTCCATAGATATTCACATGCAGCACCAGTAACACTACTGATTTCCTTGAATGTTGTTTAACAAGACTTATCAGCATGCGAGGGTGCTCGTTATTAGCTGCGGAGGACGCTCTTTCCAGCAAAAAAAAAAAAAAAGTGGGGTGTGTGATTTATTATTATTATTATTTTGTATCATAAGGCAGAAACGGGACTACAGCTTAACCAAACATCCGGCTTGTGGGATGCAATTGTTGGCAAGCGTCCACAGCCGGAGGGGTGCAACCATGAAGAATGCGGGAACACCAAAACCACGCTTTCCTAGGTGGGTCAGCTAGGCCGGGAGCACGTGGACATCTGGAAGGATTGGCCGGGGCATAAGTGTCGGCCTCGGCTCAGGACTTCTCTTTCCCGGGAAGCGACCAGAAACAAAATCCCAGCTCCTGCTGCTGTAAAACACGTTTTCTATCCGCTTCCACAGCTTGGCGGCGATAAAAAAACCGATCGAGGACACCCGCTACCATTGCATGGGGAATGGACGGCTTGTTTTTCTAAACAACATCTCCCCCCCACCCCGCCCTGAATTCGGGTTATTTCTAAGTAATCGTGTTTGGGACCGGCTTGAACTACCTTGTCGAATTTTTCCTGGGAAGTATTTCTTGAAATCAACCCAAGCGCCACAAACCAGCGTGCATTTTTGGGGTTCTCCGCAGCTCTTGCAAGGAAGATGTTACCAAAGCCAGCAACGAGCCTCCTGGACTTTTGAAGCAGCTGCTGAGTTGGTCCTGCTTGAGGGGCTGCGCTCGATTTTTACCTTAGACTTAGAGGAATCAACGGGGGGCTCGGGCACTGAGCTCCGTCCGGAGAGAAGCAGCGACGCCGGCATCTCAAAGGATGGCGCTCTCGACCTTCGGGATCCTGACGGGCGGGTGAAGGACGGGCTGGGCGGTCTGCGCGCGTCAATAAACTAGGAAGGCGAAAAGAGCCCCGAGGCGAGACAAGCCGTCCTGCCGTAAAAACAAGGCAGCCCGCTTGGGCTGACGACTCCTGACTGCGCCTTTAAGGATCGTCGGGGGCGGAGCAGGGAGTGTCCCAAGCAGGCGCTGAGGTTGTGCGGCCGGAGGAGTAGGACTCTGTGGGGTAACGGCGGCAGCGGCGAGTTGGGCTTCGGGTGGGCCTAACGAGAGGAAGCGAGGGCTCACGACGGGAGCGCAGCCAGCATGGACTGGGGCACGGAGCTCTGGGTAAGCAACCGCGCAGCCCACTCGCCAGGGCGCTCTCCTGGGAAGTTCACGATTTCCTGGTTTATCCCGCCCGCTTGTTCTTTTTGGTCTCCATTTCCCACCACTTGGTCTTCATGCCCCCCACCCAGGGCTAGGCTTCTTTATCTCCAGACCTCCGTAAAGCTTGAACCTCGTCCTTTTCGCCAAACAAAGTTTGAGTTCTCTGCCCCCCCGCACCGTAGCCCCTTTCCACCCTTAGCGCCCGCTCCCACCTCTCCTTAAATAGAAGCTCATCCCAGGACGCCCCGGGGCGCTAATCCTGGTTCCAGGCCCTTTTCTGTTTTGGCTGGTCTGTTTTCTCCTTTCTTGGCCTCATAAAAGGAAAGCGTGGTTTCGGAATGGGAATTGTGGGTGAGTCGTTCATCTTCCATGAGTAATGAATTTAAAATTTCCTATGTCGTTAAGTGTTGTAGAATTACAGGGCAGGTTAAGATAGACAGATACTGTATCTTTTGGTCCAGGTAAGCAAGACCACCTGGAAGAAAAGGAGGAAGTACTTTTATACTCTTGATTTTGGGAATGTAAAGCTGTTGTGTTTGGGCCACCATAACAAGTAACCCAGTTCCCAGTCTGGTCTGGAAAAAGTTGCCCTACATATTGCCCATACAGGGGACTGGGCCACTTGAGGGATCTCTGTTGGATATGCCAGCTTCTGCAACATCATATGGGAGGAAGCCAGGATAAAAGCTTGGTGTTCCAAGCAGCCGCTTAGGGATCTTTGTATGGTTTAGTCTGACATGCATCTGGGGTAGATATGTGGTAGCATGATTGTTTAATACTTTGCACTATCATACTCAAAATCACTCACCATAAAGGATACCGATAGCGTGTGCCTTCTGAGCAAAGTGAGTATTTGACATTAAAAGACTGAAGGACAAGAGTACCTAACTTTTTAAATTATTTTTATTCGTTCAGACTGGCCCAGATTTCTCCAGCTGGAGATCTGTCCCATGAATGCATTCTTGCTCCAAAATAGACCACTGCTGGTGATCCTGAACTACTTTACAAAAATTACAGCAAATGTTTGATAATTCTGTGAAAAGTAACAGCTGTAAACATAGTTTGCCCATTTCTAATTTAAAATGCATTTTGGGTTAATGTAAATCCAACAACCTGGGTTTTGAAGACCAGCTGTCAGTTAGGCTTGGTCAAAAAAGGCAGCTTCATTGATTCTTAGGCTAAAGAAAAACCAGGACAAAAACTTCCATCCAGCTGAGGGAGGAGAGTTTTTAACAGTGTATTTAAACAAGAAAGAGATTTACGTCTCTGATAAAAATGAACTGGTAGCATTATGATAAACATGAACTGAAGAAAAGAATTTGGGGATGTTGATTTGTAGAGGGTTGACTTTCACAGTCATTTCAAAATATCTCTCCTCAGCGAACACATCCAGTCCACAAATGACATTGAATCTGAAGAATGCATTTAGTATCATGCAGAAGATAAATATTACTTTTCTGCTTAGAAAGATTATTTAGGGAAGCACTTGAAAAAGAAGGGAGAGGAAGATTCTTTCATGTGTATTTTTAACAGACAGAAGATAGATAATGGTTGAAATTGAAAAGACACAACACACTTTGGACACATTTTTGGTCTACATGATATTGGCATTTATTATTATATAAGCCCACCAACTGAATTGAACTTTGCCTTCTAAGAGTCCTACCAGCATAATTCTGCCAACTGTAATCCAACATGGTTGGTGGTTACCAGTTGAAGATAGCTGATAGATAGTGGGCATTACTCCTTCTTTCTCTCCCAGTTGCTTAGAAACTTAGAAAATGAATGGCAAAGAAGCTTCCCCTACCTTATTTCAAGTGTCCTCCATTGTTTTTGGGGTTGATATCATTAGAACAGGCCTTTCTTCACCATCAGCTTTAGTTTTTCTGTAACTGAAAGATCCTAAAGATGCCTTTTGTAAATTGCGGGTCTAATCAGAGATTAACTCTAGCCTCATTGCTAGAATAGCACAAGCTATTCCTGGCACATTGCAATGGCACAGACAAAGTTTGCCCTCTGCAAGAAAAACAGCAAGAAGATTTCATACTCAAAACAACATGGCACTAAATGTGCGTGTACACATACATATATATACATAATGTCATACATATATACATGTTTAAATTGTTTTACCTTGCATTTGTAAAATACAACAAGAGCTTCCTGTATTTGCTAATACTTTCCTGTGGATGGTCCAATATATACAATAGTTGTTTGGTTTACTTATTTATCTTTTCTGTTGTGCCCCAACCAGGCTCCAACAGTGAAGGAGAGTTGATTGCTGGGGGTAGGGAAGCAGCAGGATGCATCAGCAGGGAGAATCAGCAAACCTGAGGAACTTTAAATGTCCCTGTGCATCAACATTAACTTAATAATGCCTGTGAATCTTGCAATTCTATCCTCTGTACAGGGTGCATTCAAATTTCCCTTTGGAGAAGGATGGCCAATCCTGGGCAGATTTGTTTAACCTATTGTTCAAGCTGTTCCTCCTGATATCTGGGTGTGGCCTGATGAATTTTCTAATAATTTTTAGGGGAGATTTACAGGCTTCTGGCTTGAATCTCCTGATTCAGAGAGCTTAAAGGAGGCTGGGTTTATATTGTGAAGTGAGCAGGAACTGACATCTAGGTGTTTATGACCGGGCTACTGCTGTTTGCATGAATGTTCAGCATTTTCTTCAGCATTTTCTTGCACTTTTGATCTCCTTCCAGCGTAATGATTGTGGTTCAAACCTCTTTTGATTCTCCAAAATCACCAATACATTATTGTAGTTTGGGGAGACTAGGGAACCCAAACTACAATAATGCATTGGTGATTTTGCAAACTTGCAATGACAAAAGTTGCCTTAACAATTAATCGAATTATATGTATGAAGGAAAGACAATCCATTAACTTATCTGTGGAGATTCTTAATCATCCAGGTGCTTTTCCAAAAGGCAATTGGACTTTCTTAGTAGTGTTGTTTTTAAAAAACGTTTCACTTCTCATCCAAAATGTCCCAATTTCAGTATCAGACAACTCACATTGGTTTTTGAGAGTTTCTCATAGACATCCAAGTGAAGTGTTATATGTGCAGTGAAATAATTAAATCAGAAGTTTCAAGAGCCTTCTAACCATTTTGGCAACATATGTCTTTTGTGCTATCCTTTGTCTTTTTCTGTATGAGTAATATTTATTCATATGATGGGTATAGAAATGAATGGAACTTTTCTTTTATATAATGTGATTTTGGCAATAGAATGTAGAATAACAGGGTTGGAAGACCGTGGAGGTCTTCTGGTCCAATCCCCTGCTCAAGCATTCTGCACAAATGGTTGTCCAAACTCTTTTTTAAAATCTCCAGTAATGGAGCACCCACAACTCCTGGAAGCAAGCCATTCCACTGATTAATTGTTCTAACTCCCAGGAAATTTCTCCTTAATTCTAAGTTGGATCTCTCTTTAGTGTGCTTTCACCTTTTATTTCTTGTCCTGCCCTCAGGTACTTAGGAAAATATACCAACCCCCTCTTCTCTGTGATAGCCCTTCAAGTACTTGAAGATTGCCATCATGTCACCCCTAGTTCTTCTCTTCCTTAGACTAGACATACCTAATTCCCACAACTATTCATCATACTGCATAGCCTCCAGATCCCTTGATCATCTTTGTTGCTCTCCTCTGTACTCTTTCTAGAGTCTCAACATCTTTTTTGCATGGTAGTGATTAAGTCTGGATGCAGTATTGTAAGTATGGTCATACTAGTGTAGTATAAAATGTTACTAGTGATACTGTCCCTCTGATGATGCATCCTAGGACTGCATTGGATTATTTGGCAGCTGCAGCATACTGCTGGCTCATACTTAAGTGCACTGCATGCTTCCTTCCATGTATCTATGAGGACTACATGCTGAGTGCACCTGGTCAGCCAGTTGTGAATCCATCTAGTGCTGTTGTCTATCCCACATTTTTCTATCATATCAAGAAGTAGGCTATGATCTACTTTGTCAAATGCCTTACTAAAATCTAAGTAAACTATTTAATCTTTCTAAATATAATGTAAGATTCTAGGATATATTTAAATTTATATAATGTAAATATAGGGTTATATACTAAAAACTAGTAATCTTGATTATAATTCTTGTTTTTTAGTCATTCAATTATTTTTGACTTAATTGTTGGGTAAATTCCATGAAAGAATAGAATGGAACGGAACAGAACAGAACAGAACAGAATGATAGAGTTGGAAAAGAGGTTCCTATTCAACCCCCTGCTCAAACTGCTGACCTATACCATTTTGGACAAGTGGCTGTCTAGTCTCTTCTTAAAAGCCTCCAATGATGAAGCACCCACTTCAGAAGGCAAGCCGTTCCACTGGTTAATTGTTCCCACTGTTACGAAGTTTTTCCTTAGTTCTAGTTGCTTTCTCCTTGATTAGTTTCCAACCATCGTTTCTTGTCTTGCCTTTTTGTGCTTTGGAAAATAGGTTGACTTCTATGGTCTTACTAAGGTTTCATAAAGCGGTATTAATACTTCACCTTGACTCCCTCTGTTTATGCAACCAAGGATTGCATTGGCTATTTGTGCTGCTGCAACACACTGCTGGCTCATATTTAAGTGATTGTCCACTAGGACAGTGGTTCTCAGCCTGTGGTCCATGGACCTCTGTAGGGTCATGATGTCATCACACAAGGTCTGCAAAGGCTTAAATAAATGTTATTATTTAAATCTTGAGTTAAATCTAGGCGGTCCATGACCACAAAAGGTAATTAAAGGGGGACCATGGGGAGGAAAAGGTTGAGAACCACTGCACTATGACACCAAGATCCCTCACAGTTACTCCTTTTGAGCCAGGTTTCACTAAGGATTTTGCTGGATTGCTAATTTAGTCACTTTGTCAAAGAATGAAATAAGATTTGTTTGGCATGGTCTGTTTTTGACAAATCCATATTGACTTGTGGTTATAACTTTACATGCTATAACTTT